GCTACTGAGCTAAATCCTTGGCCCTGAGTTTATATTTTTATAGCAGGCAACCTGGTAGCTTTGTTGGAATATACTGCGCCACCACTCCTATACCATCGCTATTCCGACTACAAACAGCCATAGCACAATGAGTATTTGAAGAGCAAGGGAGGCACAGCAATCCTATAACTGTTGTCTATGGGAAGTTTTACAGTTCAAACAATGCATTTGCAGGCATATTTTTTACCTTTACCCTATGTAGTGAGTAAAGTGTGCACAGCTATCATAACTGTGCATAGGGGGTTGGAAACCCAGAGCATTTAAGGGCTGTCCAAGATCACAGAACTGATGACCACTGGCCTGGGCCACACTACACTATCACTACTACACCTCTCGAGTGAATTAAATGCACCGGGGCTCTATTCCCCTATAGCTCTGTCATTTGCTATAGGGAGGGTCATTTTGGGGTTATTTAAAACTGTCTGGCCCTCTGGCAATGTGGGCTGTTTCCTAGGAACCACATTTGGAACTCACAAGTATTCCTGTTGAACATCAGACAGGTCCTGTGCTTTCCCTGAGAAATCTTGTTGAACTTGCTCATGATGCATCTGGGGAGAAAGTGCCACTGCTGAACTGTCCCCCTCAGTTTTGGTGACACAGTCCTGGAAAGTGGAGTAACCCACAGAAATGTCTTCCTCGGAAACTATGGGAGGGTGACTGCCAGCCTCATCCTCTTTGGAAATAGCTTGCTCCTCTCTCTGCTTGTGCTGCGTGGTACAGAGCTCCTCCTGAAGTACTGAGAACCCTGTGGGAGGAGAACAATTTCTATTGAGTTTTTCACTGAAGCTCACCTATGTTAAATGTGTGTTTCACAAGTAGCTGTCCTGTGCCACGTTCTGAGATGGGCCCAAGGGTTAAAAAGATGAAAACACTGTGCCTCCCTTCAAGATGCTGGGCATCCAGATAGGAGGGATCAGTTCAAATGCAGGTTGATGGGGCCACAGGTGTCTGGGAGTGGACATGGGACACCATCCTCAGCGTTAAAGAATTTGGAAAGGAGCTGCAGAGGGCACAATGTCTGAGAAGACCTAAGGATAACTAGGCACCGACTGTGATGGCCATGGTATCACATTCAAGGGAGAGTCAATAAAAATTAATAATAAATTCATAAACAAATTCTGAATAGTCATTCTGTGCCTTGTGAGTACTAATTTGTTCAATCCTTACCATAAAACCTTGCAGTCGGTGATCTTTTTATATAGTCTTTTATGCTAGGCTAAGGAGTTTTACTATATCCAGGGCAATGAGGAGTCACTGAAGGATTTTTAGCAGAGGAATGAATGACACTGATCTATTTATTTATTTACTCAACAAATATATATTAAGCACCAACTATGTGGTAAGTGATGTTCAGATGCTGGGTACATAGCAATGTACAAGGCAGAAAAACTTTTTTCTTTTACTGAATTTCTATTTCTAAAGATATATGTTTATAATTATTGTGAAAAAAGGCAACCAGGCTAGTATTTCAGAGAGACTAGCTGGAAAGACTTTCCTTAAGAGATGATATGTAAGTGGTGACCTAAAGAAATTGGAAGAAAACTGTCCCATGGATGGGTTTAAGGGAAGAAAAGCCCATGGCAGCAGGGACAGAAGGCACCAGGACCTTGAAGCCGCAGAGCGCTTGAGGTGTGCGAGGAATGGTAAGGTGAAACAGCTTCTGGGTCTAAAGAGAGAGAGGGACTACGACTTACACTGCACAGCAATGCACATCATCACTTAGATCAGGGAGAAGTAAGAGGCCAGTGAAAAGAGACTGAGGAGCAGAACCAATAAAGTAGGAAGGAAAACAAATGAGTGGGTGTCTGGAGAGAGAAGAAAGAAAATGTTTAAGAGAGGCCAGGGATTTAGTTCAGTGGTGCTGCCGCCGGCCTTACAAGCACAAGGTCCTGAGTTCTATATATATGGGGCGGATAGAGAGAGAGGGATTACTTCTTTAAGTGTCACTAAGGGGTGAGGTAATTTGAACATTAAAAGTTACCCTTTGGATTTGTTAACAAGGAAGCAGTTAGTGAATTGTACAACATGGATTGCAGTGGATTAGAGAGCCCCACCTAGAGTGAACAGGAAGACAGCAAGTGCAGACAGGAAACCCAGACTATTCTTCTGAAGAAGCTTCCTACAAAATGGATGGAGAAGCAGAGCAGAAATTTGGGGGCAGAAAGAATGAAAGCAGTTATTTTGCCATATTTTGTTTGAAAGGTGGGACTTATTCAAGTATGTTTTAGTGCTTCTGGGCCTGGTCCAGTCGTAGGATACTTGAGTGGATAAAAGACTCACTGCAGGAGTGAGGTCCCTGAGTGGATAAAAGAGAATGAAATGTAGGACAAAATAAATGATGGCTTTAGCGAAGTGAGGACATTTAACAGAAGGGAAAGTAGAGTTTAAGCCCTGAACATCAGACACGTCCTGTGTTTTCCCTGAGAGATCTTGTTGAACTTGCTCCTGGAGCATATGGGGAGAAAGTGCCACTGCTGAACTGTCCCGCTCAGTTTTGGGGTGCTTATCTTGGCACTTACCCTGGTAGATTTTGTGGTAGAAGGACATGGGCATTTGCTTATAACCCTAAGAAATATGAATTATGACTGTAAGTTGGAGTGAATATGAAGAGGAGGAATGTTGGAGGTGTAAAGTACAGATGAGAGATAATGAGCACACAGTGAGAACGTATGTGACACTGCAAGGTGGTAGGGCCAGGGGCTGGGAAATACAGAAAAGATCTGAAGAATTGTTAGTGGAAAAACAAGAAAAAGTATAATGCTTCAATTAGTGTACTGCTTGGAAGTAGCGTACTGATTGGCAATGATACAGTCTCGGTTATAAGTGCAGAGGTCAGTGACTGAAGTAAAATAAATAAATATTACAAGTGTCATAAGCAATACACACACACACACACACACACACACACACACACTCTCACAGTTTGACCTTCACTATGGTCCAGCGTAATGGTCTGCTCAATCTCTGCATAGCTGTGGCTGATGCGCTCCTGGAGTGGCTCTGTGCTGGCCTCCATGAGGTGGACGATGTCCATTCGGTTGATCTTGGTGAGACATTCGATGAGGCTGGTTTCTGAGGCATTAGAGATGGAGCACTGGTTATAGCTGAGAAATGCTCTTTTGCAAAATCTTTCACTCAGCTACAAACTAAATTTGTGATAGCTGTTTAGGAAGCAGCCAAAGCCTTACTAAGGGTATTTATAAAAAGAAGGCAAAATACAGACAGACATGCATAAAAAGGTGGTACAGAGTGGGAACAAACCCTGCAAGTAGAGGTGTCAATAAAGTATAGGGCATCCAGTGAAATCTGAATTTCAGACAAAAAACAGTACTTTTTTCATGTAAATATATCCTAAATATCGCATGGGACATATTTATGCTAAAAAAAGTTTATGTTGATTAACTAGAATTTAAATTTTGCACCCTTCTGATTATATTTGCTAAATCTGATACTGCTACTAAATAAAATATAGAGAGAAAGACTGATAAGTATCAATGTGTCAAGGTAGCTCTTCAGGGTGACACTGAAGGAGGTGGGAAATTTAGACCACCGGGGAGACAAGAAGCAGCTACGGTCCTCTTAATTTCCATTATGTTCCATGTGGTCAGAATAGCACATACACGGAGAATCTACTTGATTATTTTCCCATCATGTAAGTTATTTAGGAGTGAAGAAAATGGTAATTTAAGGGAAAGCACTACCAATAAAACAATGACAGGGCCAGGGAGTTAGCTCAGTGGTTCCCCCGCCTGCCTTGCAAGCACAAGGTCCCAAGTTTGATCCCTGGTCCAAAAAACAAACAAACAAACAAAGAAACCAAACAATGACAAAGCTGGGCTTGGTGGTGCATGCTTGTAATCCCAGCACTCTGAAAGGCTGAGGCAGGAGGATCACAAATTTCAGCACAGCTTGGGCAACTTAACAACTTAGCAAGATTCTGTCTCATAAAAATAAAAAATAAAAAGCGCTGGGATACAGCTCAATGTTCAATTCCTAGTAAGGCAAAAGGAAGAAAAAAAAAGACACAGCACTGTGTCCATTAATCAATACATAGAAAAGTTTAAGATTGAATAACATTCGTGCTGGCAACTAGTGCTGGCACCATTTCCCATTGGCTAACATGTTCACAGGAATACAATGAAAGACATTATGCTCATGTTTGTTCTAGCAGCTTGTTCTCATTCAATGATGGTAGTACTTGCAACTGATGGGTAGCATTTCTTTAGTTTATTGTCTTATCAAATTTGCAAGAATGGGGTTGGTTGTTGACCTAGACAACAGTTTCTCCCTTTAGCTCAATCCCTTCCACTCAGAGTCCCACACTCACCTGTAGCATGCTTCCCATCCCTTTCCAGCCAGTACTTCAACAGTGCGTGGCTCTGGTCTTGGAGGGAGTTGGGGTTCTCAACTCGAATCTGATGGATTTGCTCCTCAGTGAAGTCCAGTTCTCTTGCTAACTCTAGAAAATACTACTTTGTAAGCACATGGCCTTCAGAGGTTTGTCTTTACATCTTGTTTGTGATTTCCTAAGTGAAGTGTTCTTGTATTGCTGTGTTTGAGTTCTTTTATTTTTATTCTTCTAGTAGTAATTATGGATCTTTCACTTAATTAGGATAGGATTAGGATTAATTAGGTATAGGATTGATTACTGAACCTTTCTCTTAAAACTGCGTACAGAATTGATTACTTCCATAGCAGAAATAGCAAATATGAAGCTGTGATGATAAAATATGAACAATTTGGGTCCACTTGATTCCAAAATACAGACAAGACTGTAAACACTTGCTTAAACACTTACCAACACATTGGAAAATAAATAACTGAAAACAGAAGAAACAGACTATTTCCCACTTTGGATCGCCATGGCTGATATTCTAAATACTACAGAATCCTGCAGGATAAATGTCACACTAATAAAAGGTCTGGGAAGCATTAATTGACCTAGGAAAGAAGCACTGTTTTCTTTTAGGTTCTACCATTAACATTCTATGTGGATGCTTATATGTTATAGAGAGTGTGTGTGTGGTGTGTGTATAGCGCTAAAAGATGAACTACTGTCAATTTGACAATATCGTTGTAATTTTTTTATTGTTTTGAGACAGGGTCTCCTTCTATAATTCAGGTTGTCTTTGAACTCACTATAGCCTCAAACTTGTGGCAATCTTCTTGCCTCAGCCTCCTGAATGCTGAGATTACAGGCATGTGCCACCAGGCCTGGCTTGACAATATCATTTAAAATTAAAAGTATTTGTCATCAACAGTTCTATTTATAAGAATATACCCTATAGATGTGTTCAAAATCATATAACAATGCACAAATATTTCATCGCCATTAACAAGAAATAGTCTCAAATCTACTTACAAAGACTATTGATAAAATTAAAGAACCTTCAAAGTAGAATTAAATAGCTACTAAAAGAATGCAATAGATATATCTGTGCTGACAGGAATAGTAAGTTTTGCTTACTTTTATATGATAGGCATATTATATAGGTATTATATATTTTTTTCAGAATATCTGAGAAAATGTTAGCTTTGAAGTGTGGGCCAAGATGACCAGAAGTAGGTGAGAGACATTCTTTTCATTTTATATTATCCTGTACTGCTGCAGAGTTTGAATTGTAACTAATATATCCAATGATATTTTAATATCATATCTTCCTATAACTCCTCCAAATAAGTCTGACCACTATTTTAAAATTATTGAAAGTGAGAAAAATGACTCTGCCTTCTGTTTCCAGACATTTATTTTAAATTATCAATTATCTTCAAAAATAATTAATGTACTCCTGTTCAAATCTTTAAGAAATTGAAAGACTATTAACTTTATACTGTTTGTCTCAATAAAGTAGTCACAAGTATTTAAAAGAAACCAGGTCCCAGACTTAGAATGAAGAAAAGAAAGGAACAAACAGGAAGAAAAAAATCAAGAAAGCTAGTGTCTACAATCTTGTTGTAATATGGTAAATTATAAGTAGATGAAATCTACCAGCCATAATCTGTAAATAAAACATACTGATTTTATAATTTACTTTCTTTTTATAAATTATTTAATATATACTTTCTATCCTTAAACATTCCCAATTTTCAAAAAGTCAGTGAAACATCTTTGCCATTCAACATTCACCCACAACAAATTTCATGAAGAAGTCTTATTTTTAAATTCTTTAGGATTTAAAAGAAGCAGCAGTGGTTAAATCTCTATTTACATGTTATGAAAATCATGTCTAATAATGGCCTATAATAGAATAATCTCACCCAAATTTAAATATCTACAACTGCCAAAGGGGGGTGATGAAGGGTGGTGTATTCTTAAAATCTTCAAATCTAAGGTTGTTCTAAATTTCAGAGATGATGATTATTTCTCCCTCTCCCACTCTGAACTTGCTCTGGGCTCCATCAGTAGCTAATGCAGAGGCTGGATTTTCTAGTTTATAGTTTATCATTCTTTTCATGATTCCATGTAGTCTTCCTCAAACAAAATGAAGGGAAAAACATCTTTTTTCATTGCCAATAATACTTGGCTGACACATCTCTATCATTTAAAGCAAGTAGGTTTTGTTGAAAAACCGGTTCACACTCGTCTTACCTGTCCAGCTGAAGCCCAGGTGATCAGCAATATAAGCCAGCCTCTCCTCGATCTGCTCCTGCTCATCCTGTGTATCTACAGAAGGTCAAAAACAGAATGGCCAAAGGTTGTCCATAACAGGAGAGGGACCACAGTTTTGATCATTCAGTGAATGGAGTCACTTGTCCAAATATTTGATAATAGCACATATTAGCTATTACAGTTTAGGTAATATTAAATTGTGTGTCTGCCTGATTTCTGGGGTGGAATGAGGAATAAATCCAATATGACCCATGAAAACCATCTGCTTCCATATCTCTTTAATCAAGACTAGTTGCTGGATACAATTATATAAATTGCAGACTTCTGGTCATCTTAGGACTTCTAAATTATTTGAGAGTATAGTGCCCTTTGAAAGACACTCATCTTGCTCCTGACACACTAGAATAATCATAAATGGGATGAATGAGTGAAATAATTGGTCAGGATCTCCTATTAGTGCCTGTGGAGGTAGAGACCATTTCCAGGTCACGTCAGAAAGAAATAGCATCAGAAATTCACAAGAGATCTTGATCATGGGTGGGAGACCATCCTGGGTTTATTCTAGTATATCCAGAAATAGCATGCACCTTATTCTTGATTACCTTGGAAGAAAATAAGAGCACACACATCTGTATATGTGTGTTATATGAGTATGCATGTATGAGTATGTCTTTTGGGCAAAGATTCTGCCTTAATCTACCACGAAACGGTAGATTTCTCTCACAAACTATTAATTTTCCTATTCACTTTTAAATCTTTTGGGTTGATAACGCAGCACTTTAGAGCATGGAATCATGAAGTTTTTTAATAACCCAAATTTAAGACCAATAGTCTTCATTGTAGAGATACTGGAAGACCAGAAGCTACTTCTCAAAGCCATCTATGGTTTTCTTCTTTATAATTCGGAGACATCATTCCCTCACAGTCAACTTAAACTGTGCAAAGTTTGAGTTTTTGTTGTCTGCTGCATCTAAATGGAGTACATTTTCAATTCATCTATCATGTAAACAAAAAGTGTATTTTTACCTTATGTTTGTTTGCTTAAAGGATTTACCAATGGAATCTGAAATCCAATCTTTCTGAATCAAAAACAGATCCACAACAATTGGAATTTCAGGATGTGAGAAATCTTCTTGAGCAAATGGCTTCCTAATAATTACAGAATTGCAAGTACAAATTATTTTCAAGTGTGCAGAGAAAGCAACAAGTCCTCATAATATAAAACAAAACCCCATATATTCATGTGGAAAAGAGCAAAAGTGCTTAATCTGAGGCTGAGCCTGGGACTTCAGAACAACAAAACTCAAAGCTTGCATGGCCTTACGTGCAGCAGCTAAAGAAAAGCAAGATCATCACTGCCTGGGTATGTTTATGTTTTCCATAAGCATTCTCATTACTCAATCTTGAGATTGTTTTCAGACAAGAGTATACAGAGAAAGCACAAAACACAAAGGGCTTACACAAACACATTAACCACTACAGAAAGCTTAAAGGAAATGAGGCACAAATCACCAAATAAATCAGACATACAAAAAAATCTATATCAAATTTATGACATGCGGAGCACAGGGAATCCCAGTGGCTGGCAAATACCTTCAGCATGGTCATGGCCATTTTCATCAGGGATGCGTTCAATCAGAGTCTCAATGGACTCATCCCAAATGGGCCTTGTGTCAAAGATGTCCTCAGGAACTGAGTGCTCAGTCTCAACAGGTGGCAGATTTTCAATAACTGAAACTTCCAGGGCACTACTACTTTCATCATCTGAAGCTAATTCCTGTTCCCTTTCTGACTGCGTAAGTCTATCCACTAGCTTGGAAGCCTCATCACTAATTTCCTCAAAGAATTCTATGGAGTTTCTGTAAAGGTCAAAGAAATGTTCCTTACTTTCTTTTGTGGGGCTCACGGCCCCCTTGCAGGAAGATGTAGTGCTTCTGCTCTTAACTGGCAATCGGGATGCAAATATCTTTGGTCTTGTGTCTCCTTCCTCTGATTCTGACTCAAGTTCCTCTGCCCTCTCTCTGCTCTCTGCTTCTGTCTCAATGTAACTTCTGGCTTTCCCTGGGCATTTGGTCTTGGAGTCCAAAGGACTAGCATCAGATTCGGATTTGCTTCTGCTGTCTGGAGCTCTGCTTGTCACATCCTGTCCCTGAGGTGCCCCTGTCTTACGGAGAGATGAGTCTAGAAGTGAGAGCTGCTCTTCAACTCTTTGGATGGATGCTTTGATGGGGATTTTGGACTTTGGTTTTTCATTATCTTCCTTACTTTCCTCATCCAGAGTGGGTGGAAAATCTTCAGAAAATGCACTCTCATCCTCTACAGATGGATGGGTCGCATATGGCGTGGGGATAGGCCTTGCAAGGATTTTGGATTTGCTTTCGGTAGAAGGCACATTCTCCATGGGTGCAGTAGGGATTTCAATCACAGACTTCTCTTCCTCAGGGGAAGAATCAGGAGACTCCTCATTCCGATCTGAATATACAGACCTGGTGATTGTGGAAAAGTCCAACTGAACTTGGACAACTGGTTCAGGGGAGTCAAAGCAAGGTACCTGGTTCCTACTGGATGGAGAAGTTGTGTCAGGCATTTGCGTGGGGAGGTCCTCAGCCCCTGTAGCAGTAGCCTCTAGTGTAGACATTTCAGGGGAAGCTGAAATCCCGGTTTGAGCATCAAGGTGAGAATCTGAAGTGAGTACTTCCTCTGCATCCTCACTTAGATCAGCTGGAAGTAATTCTGCTTTGTCATTCGCCATTTCATTTGATTCTGAAGGTGCTACTGACTCAGCTGTCATCTCCAGCTGTGGCTCAGCCCCTTCTTTCACGTCTTCAGAGAAAGTCTCTTCCCTGGATTCTTCACCAATTTGGAAAAAGTGAAAGCTTTCATCTGCATAGGACCTTTTGGTCATATCAATGGCACCACTTCGGGTCATCTCAAACAGTTTTCCTTCCTGAAAGAGAAATGGATTTTGCTCACTTGTTGGGGTCCCCTCTTCCGTTGGAGTCCTAGCAGGAGTGGTATCAGGGGTGGTACCCTGTGAGTGTCTGTCTACCATCAAGCCAAATATCTTCTGCTCTTCTTCTTTCACCCGAGCCTCAAAGGCTTCATCATCTTCACGAATTTCACTCCAGGAATCTGAATCCACATCTGTTTTTGTGATGATGACTTGGCTTATTTGTTCCCCAAAGATTGCTGAAGTATTTGCTACAGTAGGCTGGGGAGAGGAGCAGATGCTGTCTGACTGCATTTCCCACACTGCGCTTTCTGGTTTGGATTCTATTTGAAGGTTCTCAAAATTCGATTCTTTACTTGAAACAGTTCTACTAGAAGAACTTGTTGCTACTACCTCTGCAACAGAGGATGTGATAGTAACAGAATGTACTTCAGAAGAGTGAAAGCTCGTAGTGTGACTGGGATCTATTTGGGTTTTGCTTTCTTCACTAGGGAAAAAAGGCTGAGAAGGAACATTTTCATAAGGACTTGTGATATGAGGATAACAGATTTCACCAGTCTCCACTAGGTCTGACTCTGGAATGTCCATAGACAACCTATTTGTTTGAGTTATAATACATGAGTCTTGAGTGAAACAGTCCTTGGGTAAGGTCTCCAAAGTTGGGTCATTATTGGTTTTTTCTATTTTTGTAGTAGAAGATATATCACCATCCAATTCCTTTTCTTCAGATACTGGACAATGAGGGAAAGAGGACAAAGAAGAAGGGCTTTCACTGGGGCAACCTACTTGTGGAGATTCCACTCCAGAAACATCAAGCTCTTCTCCTTCTGTGTCATTTTCATGAGGGTCCTGGGGAGCTAATGATTCTTTACAGTTGACAAGCTGCTCGTCAACATCACCAGCTGACTTCTGGAACCCTAAAGAGATAGGCGTGCCCAAGCTGCTAGGACTCAGAGCCTCACACCCATGGCCATCGCAGATTTTTAACAGATTGGTGTCTTTGTTTAGATCATCGTAGGACCTATCTGCTTCATCAGTGGAAAGAGGATGACTGTCTTCAGCTGAAAGGGATTCACCGGCTTTTCCTTCTTCTGAGTTACCTAGCTCTTCCTGAGAATCTTCACTCATCTTGAAAGTATATTGTTTGGAGACTATAGGCGGAAAGTGTGCTTCTTCTGGGCTAGAATTAGAGTCTATGCTGGATGGAAGTGGGGAAGGAGGTTGCACTCGGATCACTGGTTCTGGTAAGAGGCCTGAGTCAGCATCTTTCTTCAGCTGAGTCAGTTCAGGTTCACTTTCTGAGGACGAAGAAGCCTTTCTGCTCTCAGAAGTCACCAACACAGGGACATCACTTCTACCCTCTACACTCTTCATCTGCTTCAGTTCATCTACATCTGCTGGGCAGTCAGTATCTGGGTCAGAGAATGAGGAAGACTCCTCTTGCTTGGGTTCTTTTTTGCAGTCTCTTTTCTGCTTTGCTTCTTGTTCAAGTTCATCGAACATTTTAATTTTGGTTACCATTTTGAACATTTCCTCTTCAGGTGTGAACCTCTTTTTCTCCCCATTTTCAAAATCATCCTCTTCTGCACACTCATGAATCACAGCTGGTTTGGGTGTACATGCATCTGAAGCTTTGGGTGTGACCTCATAGCTGACTTCTTCAGAGCTGGGGGTGTCAGGGGAAAGAGGGCTCTTCCCTGAGCTCTCCATCAGTGACGTCTGCTCAAGACTATCATCCTCAGCACTGCCATCAGGATCTCGGAGTAGCCGGGACCGCATGGAGGCCAGTTCTGTAATGAGTTCTGTTTTGGCTACAATAGCAGGCAGAGCAAACTGACTTGGGAGAATTCCTGCCTTCATCTTTGGTTCAACAGGGCTGCTTTCAAGAGAGTCCCGGCAAGGAGATTCTTTCAGGGGACTTGGTTCCAGAGAGTCAGGAGTTTTGTGTGAGGAATTATCTTCTAGCACAGGGCTGGCTTCCAGAGAGTCTTTGTGGCTTACGGCTAATGATTCATCAGCCATGGGGCTGAGGACCTCACTATCTCGGCTAGGGAGTGCAAGTTCTAACCCTTGGGGGCTTCTAATGACTCCACTGGACTTGGATTTGGTTTCTGGGTCTGTCTTTACAGAAGCATCAGGCAGGGGTGAAGGCTTTGCCTCATCTGGGATGGCTGTGGATTCCTGAGTTTCACTATCAGTTTGTGTCCTATAAGTTGAACTAGTAAGTGGTAGATGACCGCCATCAGAGGATGCTTCCTCAGCCAGTGTCCTATGGGTTTCTTCTGCTAATGGCACACTAGGGCTGCCAGGGTAATCATCTTTTTGTTTGGGGCATATGTCTCTGGGAGAGTCTGGGGTGGCATCCTTCTGAAAAGCCTCAGCAGAGGGCTCTGAGCCCTCAGGGACTATGGCACCTTGATCTTCAGAACCATCAGTGATGTCTTTGGTTGTAGGATGTTCTTTTTCTGAATGAATTTCTGGGGGCGTTTCTAACTTGGTGGTTTCTTTTATTTCCTTAATTTGCTCCTCACTTTTCTTTGGTGAGAAAGAAAGGCTTTCTGGGCTCGTCTCAGGGGTTTCTGCCAGGCCCTCATGCTTGTAGCTTTCTTCTGAACTAATCTGTGGGGTCCCCTCCATCAGGCTGCCGCAGGGCGAGCCTGCTATCCCTTCCTGCTTTAGGCTTTCAGAACTGCCAGTCAGAGCTGTGCTCTGGAGGGACAGAGTGGGGAGGAACTCATCCTTCATATAATCTAGTGGGAAGGCTGTACTGAAAGGGCTGGTGAGGACTTGGTCTAGCTGAACCTGCGCCTTCTCTGTCTCTTCACTCAGGCAGAATTGTTGGTATTTGTCATTGTCTTGTAACTCTTGTTTAATGACATCAGAAAAGTCTGTGGAGGTTTTCCTGTCTGGGCTGATCTGCAGGTCCATGTCTTCCTGTTCATCAGCCACCTTTTCCTTGGGGATTTCTCTCTCTCCATGTCTTTCTTTTTCATGCACTGACTGAGCAGGCTCTGGGGGTTTGTGGCTGGGAGTTTTCTCCTTTTCTCCAATTGCCTCTTCTTTCCTAAACCCTATGGTGGGGGCACGGACACCTCTTCTGGATTCTGAAAGCCCTGTCACTATGAATCTCTGGCTTCGTTTGATGGTCTGACTCTCTGTTCTCTGCATTTCTCTCTGGCTCACTATCTGTCCCTTTTCTTTTTCTACCCGAGTTTTACCCTTTTCTTGTGTCTGCTTTTGTTTTGCTGATTTGTGCTCAAAGAGCCCAGTTTTATGTTTTGATGGGTCCTGACCTGATTGGAAAGCTTTCATCAACTCCCGGACAGACATAGTTTCCTCAATTCTCTCTGTTTTGGAAGTTGGGGACACAGGTGGCTGCTTCTCTGTTTTCCCAGTTGGTGACACAGGCAGGTATTTGTCATTTTTCCCAGAGAGTGGATGCTTCTCTGCTCTCCCAGAAGGTGAAACAAGCAAGCGCTTTTCTGTCTTCCCAGGTGCAGGTGACACTGGAGGATGTTTCTCTGTTCTCCCAGAAGGTGAAATGGGTGGGTGTTTGTCAGTTTTTCCTGAAGGTGAAACAGGTAGGTGTCTTTCTGATTTTGTAGATGACACAGGGGAGTGTCTTTCAGTTTTAGTGGAGGATGTTACAGGTGAGTGTTTCTCTGGTTTACTTGCTGTCAACACAGGTGAATGTCTTTCAGTTTTTGCAGAGGGTGACACAGGTGAGTGCTTCTCAGTTTTACCTGAAGGTGACACTGGAGGGTGCCTTTCCGTTTTTGTAGAGGAGGAAAGGGAAGAGTGTCTTTCTGTTTTAGAGGAGGGTGACGCTGGAGCGTGCCTGTCTGACTTCAGCAAGGGTGACACCACTGGATGTGTTCTGGGAGTGGCCTTTTTGGGTGTGTCTTCTTTGCCTTTGACTCTGATGGGCAACTTGCTTCGCCCTTTCTGCTCATCTTCCACTCGCTTCTGAAGAGCCTTCACTTTGTCCTTTATGGAGCCAATGGGAGTCTCTTCTATGAGAGGAGAGGTGGCCTTCGTGGTGGGAAAGGGAGCAGGGTCCAGACCTGGCTCTTCATTTAATGACTCTTCAGAACTACCCTTTTTAAATTCTGTTTTTCCCTCACTCCCTGGTAAACCTTCTTCTTTTTGTTTCTGCTTTTCTTTTAATTTCTTCCTCACTGGCTTCTTTATCCCTAGGCTTGGTTTGTGCTGCTTTTGAGTGCTGAGTTTCTCCTCTGGGGGTGCAGCCTTCCCCGCCTTCCCAGAGCTCCTACTAGCAGCTGGAGCCTTGCTGGCCTCCCCAACCTTGTCTTCCTGAGGAGACACATAAGCATTGAGGTCCTCAGCCAGGAAGTTCACAAGTCCAGCTGAGTCTTTCTCTGCTTTGACTTTGGTGTCTTTCTCTAGTCTGACTTCTACACATGGATATTCCAAGATATCTAAAGGTGCTTTCTGCTTAGCCTCCTCTATGTCCTCCTCACTAACAAGAACCCACTCCTCTTCCTCTACTTCTCTCTCCGCCTGAGAGCGCTGTTGGCTGCCTTCGTCCCTTGCGCATGTTCCACTTCTCAGGATCTCATTCACTTTCTCTAAGTCCTCTTTAACTCTTTCGACGATCTCAAAGGGCTCTCCTGGCTCTTCTTCAGAGACCTTCACCAGCTCCTTCACTTTCAGGGAACCTGCCTTATCAGACACATCTGTGGTCAAGATGGCGGTCATTTTGATCAAGTCTTGTTTCATCTCAGAAACTTCAGAGAGCAAGTCCGGACTTGCTAGGACAGGAACTTCATTAACCAGGTGACTTTTCAGGACAGATGTTTCTGTAGATTCTGTCTCATCATCTTTGATATGAATGAAAAACATTGAAAATAAAATGGAAATCAAAAAAGATATTGGCAAATGTAATCAGGACTGAAAGGACAGCGTCTTTTCCTGACGTGGTGGGAGGGGCAACAGAATGGGCTTGGAATGGTGGATCCACAAGGCCTCAGGGCACAAGAGCAAAGCAAGGCTAACAAAAAAAAACTGAAAAGGAAAAATGAGCAGGAAATAACTTGCTTAAATTTCTCACTTGTAGCACATTCACACATACGACAGAGCTATATCACAGATAATCAAGACACACACACACAAAAACCCACAACAAAGGAAGAACGCAGTGAAATTACACACAGGTATCTCAAGATTGTTCAGATGTTACAGATCAATGTTGGGGGGAAAAAAAAACCAAACAACTATGAGGAAAAAAAAATGAGGAAAAGGCACTAGAAATTGCATAAAGTTGATTTCCTCTGGGAGAAAGCCAGTAATAGCAAACTCAGAATAATGTCCAATGATGTACACACATTTTTAAACACATACATCTAGAATTCAGCATGTTTGTTCTCCTGATATGCAATGATGCCAGAAACCACATTTGAATCAACTGTAAACTGGCATTTCATCCGAGGGAAAGTGACACCTAACGATGGAACACACAGTCTTGTGCTGCGAACAGGCACGGTCCTTTCCTTGGAGCAACCTCCTTGTTTAGACATGGAACAGACAGACCAAGGAGGAAAAGAGGAAAGGAAAGGAAAACAACAGAAACAACACTTGTGATCAAACACATATGTGAGTCCAGAGTTAAAATGTGAGGCATGGCAATCCAAGTCAGAGACAGTCACACAGGACACACGCACAGTTTATGTAAGCCAAGTTATTTCCATGCAAAGCAAAGATGGAGTAAAACTGTGGGGAGAGCTGGCCTTGCAGAAAAGCGTGGGCAGGAGGATGGTGAGAAATTAGAACGAATATGTAAAACATTACTGTGGTGAAGCATATTTACTTCCCTATGCATCGTACAGAAGATGCTAAGCACATCTGAGGCACATGTTGTAGGAACCTGCAATCATTAGTGGCCAGAGGAAATCTCAGCTAGCTCTTTTAAGATTTACTCAAAAAAATTTAGGAAAGAGTGCCTTCAAAAGAGCTTTTCTTTGAAGATTATTTATCCATGCATAAACATTATCTCATGATCCTCTTGAAAATAAAAGCAAAACAGAAGTCTGGATTTGAAATGTGCAAAACATTCAATATCTAGAAGTGATTCAAAAAAGCTCAGGGTATTATAGCAACATGGAAACTTTTTCTTTTTTTGCTTCTTTTTTTTAAACAACTGAGTCAGATCAATCTTTAATTCCTACTAGCCCAGGAGCAAAGCAAAGGGCCATTTAAAAAACAGTCCTACAGATGAAAGAGAGAAAAAATAAAATCGCTTTTGAAAAGAGTAATCAAGGAAGGCAGTAATGTCATTTAAACAAGAAAATTTGTATTTGTTCACTATGTGACTATGTATATATAAAATATATTAAAATAGTTTATAACTAATATCAATACAGTTTTGTTCAGTTATAAACCAGTGAAAATCTGTCCAGCCTCTCATAGATCTTAGTGCTGAATAATGATTTCGCATGAGGCTAAGTAAGCTTCAGTGAAAGCCATTCCAATAATGTAGTAGGAGATCATACTGTATTAGGACTTAAAAGAAAAAACCTACAGATCATTATGTAGGGCCAAACAGCCATATTAAAAATAGCTTTGGATTTTCTTTTCTTGGGAAGAATACAGTACATCCCATAACATCAAAAAAAATCAGAATTTCTTTCTCTATACTATTTGGGGCATAAGAGTCAGAAAGCTTTAAAGTTCAACCTGAATTTCCATACAAGAAGCCAGAGTCACTGGAAATAGGACAATGAATTAAATATTAATTGAATATTACAAACCTGAAAACAATTCTTGGATAGGTCTCTCAAGGCCTATAAGAACCAATTCTCTCTGTCTTTGATTAGATTTAGGATTTTTGCCTCATTATTTAAAATTAGCCAGATATTAACACATTATTGTAATTAGAAATTTCATCCTGGAAGATTTAAATTTTTCAGTCTTGAGTTTTTTTCTCTTTTCAGAAAGTTTCCACAGCAAGTTATTAGATCTTAGCCTAGAGTCTTTGGTTATACTCCACCGCAGTAAAAATAAGTGCAAAGGAGGGATGAGGGAGAGTTAGCTTCAGCTAAGAACTATTAGACAGTATCACTTTTGCAGGTGTACCTTAAAAAAAGAAAACAGGAGATCTCTATAGAAGTCATTGTTTGTTGCTTCATATACAAAGTGATACTGTCAACTGATTGCTTAAAAAATAATGAGATGACAATGTTATGCTAACAACTGGACAAAACGGTAGGGTGGCTTCTAAACAAGCGCAACAGCAATACCAAGGTTAACAGGGATGTCAAAAGAAAGTGAATGCTTAGATGAATAATCGTTGCATATTACAGCTAATTAGCTCAAAAATTAGGTATACTTGTAATTTAACTGGCCAAGCTGCTTTTATAAATATATATTAATGATTAATAAAGATAATATAAAAATATTACAGTGGTTAATAATGGCAACTAGCTTGCATCTTAAGTCATGCTTCCTTTTATTGTAGCCAGCTTTTAAACAAACTCAATTTCATTTAAAATCTTACTTTTTTCTGATGTCATATCGATCTGAAAGAAAACATACATAAATTGAATGGTTACAAGTAGCATCTAGGCTCATGGACCCGGCTGTGCACAACAAGCTCCTCTTCATAATTATACACACAGTGACATCACTCACTAGAGGAAGGTCAAAGTAATTTGCTAGTTTTTCCCCACCCTGGGAGTCTCTGTGGCTCTTATTCTAACTTTGGGGGGAAAAAATCTCTTTTCTAGAAACCGCAAATGGAAAATTCTTTTTTTTCAATTGAAAAAATATATTACAGTAAAAGACATTGCCATTAACCCACTCAAAATATTCTCCACCCTTTCAGATACACTTCTCCCATCGTTCTTGTCACTTTCTGGAGGAAAATACTTATTTCATGTTATTCCTGGGGGGATAGGACCCAGGCTGTATTTGACGTGAGAAATATGTAATTCTTAGATAAAAGGTCAGGAAAAAGGGTGAAGTCACTATTAATGAGTGTCAACTTAGCAGAGAAACAGAAGAGAACAACAAACAGCACGCCGGGAAATGCATTCTACAGAAGTAGTTTCATTACCATCGATAACAAGCCAGCATTCCAAACCCTCAAAAGAATACAGACTGGGATCTACCGCCCTGAGCAACTCTGGAAGTATTCAGTGGTACTGAACTGTCATACACTGAATGGAAAAATTTGTGAACATATAGCAAGACTGGTGTCACCATTTCTTGATCTTTCAAGAAGGTATGGAGGCCTCACTTTTTAACAGCTGTGCTGAGGGGTCACAGAACATAGGAAGGAAACTGAGCATGGGACACTGTGCAGCACAGGGAGAGGGGGATGTCAGTCTTGTCATCAGCAATGGTGTGTAGGACCACATATGACAGGACAGGGAGCCTCTAATCACCCCTCTCTTCCTGCTCCACGACCAAACTCAGACCTTTTAATTGTGGTTACAAGGTATTTACTATCATTTTCTTTGTATTTCTGTACTTTAAATGCATCAAAACAACATTATAGAAATCAGTATATTCAAAATATTTACATGTTCTTCAAAATCTCAGTTGTTTTAGAAATAGGAGCTGATAGACGCATAAGCAAACACAGCAAGTTTCCTGATGATTTATTTCATTTCTGTTGTAATATTTAGGCATTTGTAGAACTTTATAAGGAAGATGATCATGTTTTTGTTTTAAATATTGAAACATATAATTCAAATGGCAACTGATTCAGGCTAGCGATTTAGCTTAGCAACACCACACCTGCCTTGCAAGTACAAGGTCCTGAGTTCGATCCCCAGAGCCAAATGGCTACTGGTTCAAGATAATCTAAGACCTGTGTTCTCACCTGTGGGACAGCAGCACACACCTCTAGGGTGGGTGAGACATCTGCATTTATATGAGCTGTGAGGCCTTCATAAGGACCTCAATTTATGAGAAATATTCATGATTACCATAGCTGCCCATTGTAATGTTATTCTAGTCTAGAGGATGGACAGTCCGCTCCTAAAAATCTTCTGTCTCAGTGATTCTCAAATATTTTGATCTTAGCACCAGTTTATATGCCTAAAAACTTATTGAAAAGCCCAAAGAACGTTTGTTTATGTATGATATGGGTAAAATGAGTACCTGTATTACAAATTACAGCTGAGAAATGCTAGAACTCAAGACTACACAAGCACACATTCCATGGATGGTCAGAGTGACAATGTCAGCACAGATATTACAGAACCTCTAGAAAAGTCCTCTGGAGCTTTTCAGGATATGAAAACTAAAAAGGCAGATAATGTCTTAGTATTACTGTAAGATGTTCGGATGTCTTCAATCTAACTTTTGAAAACTGCTGGTTTAGACTTTAATAGTTGGCAGAGAAATATGTATTACTGCATAAAGAGCTGAAATTTATACAGAAACTTTCCTACTCTCTGAGGTGATTGTACAAGTTGAGAAAACACAGGCTCAGAGCATTAAGTACAATTCTGTGCCCTGAAGTACTACGAACAACTGCCTATCCCTCTACGAACAGGTTAAGTACGTTCTCTTGTTAGTAGTTACGAGGACACAGCCACGAACAAGTGACACTATTTCAGAATTACCTCTTCTTCCTGCTCCTGATCTGATTCTGATTCCTGGATGCCCAAAGATGCCATGCAAGATGGGGAAAAAAAGAGAGAGAAGGAAGAATAGAGAGTATTTAGAAGAGAAGAGCAAAAATATCCTGGGACAAACATCAGCAGGCCGCACACATTCAGCTTATTCTTTTCTTTCTTCTTCTTCTCACTAACATTTTATAGGAGGCAGGCAGAAAATTAAAGAGCACTGACAGAAGTCAGCAGATTCAAGGGACAGAAATAAGCAATACAGATATACCAATTTCAGATGCTATGTCACCAGCAGCATCAAAGTATTGACACTTAATGGGTCCAGTCACATTTGTCTACAGAAACAGAGACATGATATCCCATTTATTATGTAGTTGAAAAAGTTAAAAGGTCCAAGAAAACATATGGAGAAAACATTTTAAATAAGCTTCCAATATGTAAAAGTTTTATTATAAAGAGAGCTATCAAATTCTAAAATATCTTAAGAGTGCGTGTTTGACATTTTCTTCTTTTTGTTTTAGTTACTAAATAGAAAACTGTCCTTGATTATCAGAGCACTGATTGTCTGATATGTCTGGATTCAGAGAGAAAATGTAAAATAAAGTAAATGCTTTTTTTATAGCAAACTGAAAACTCACTGCAGCCAGTCAAAGTGCATTCATCTTTCTATATGACGCAGGTGGCCTGCAGATGTTGTTTTTCCAGCTACTTACTATTCTGCCCCAGGTGATTCACCAGTAATCAGTATACAAACCTCAGAGAGCTTTCACCATCACTGGAGTCCAGTTAGGCTATGCTAATTTGAGCTGAAATAGTTATTGCTATATTGAATTTTTGACAACCAAATTTCAAAGGTTATAGCATCACTTTATATGCCTAAAAACTTACTGAGAAGCCCAAAGAACATTTGTTTATGTGTGATATGGGTAAAATGAGTATCTGTATTACAAATTAGAGCTGAAAAATGCTAGAACTCAAGACTACACAAGAACACATTCCATGGATGGTCAGAGTGACAATGTCAAGGTCAGAGCGAAAATTTGACAACTATGGTGAGGTACAAGTAATCTACAATACTCTTTGTTTTGTGGAATGATCTGTCTCACTACTTCCTATTATCTCTCTTTTATTTTGCCCTTTATTTATACTTTGGGAATCTTATATAATCTACTCCAGATGTTGGCAACCGCACTGATCTACTGCCCCAATGTGTAGGATACATACTACTACTAGTAACCTCCAATAGCCACCAATTAAGTGCTGTCTGAGACTTCCAGTCAAAAAGGTCAGGAAAAAGAAACATTAAAATAATAAGAGAGAAGTTACTTGCACCACTTAATAATTCAGTGGTCTTCTTTGATTTATTCAGTATGCATGAGGAATTATGGAAACAGGGAAAGGTTTGAAAGAAAGTAATGCCTATAGATAAACTAGGTCAAGAATTAATATATTTTTTTCTTTCAATATTTCAAATCTATTCTTAGTAAAAATGAGGATTTAAAAATACTAATTATATTCTTACAAAATTGAAAACTTAATACTCCTAAAACACAAGTTATAAGATAAATAAAAATTGTTATAGCAAAAAAATAAAACATCATGTGAGTTTGCTCTGTATTTAACAGAATGTGACCCACCAGTGCATTGATGGTGACCTGAAGCTAATTGGGCTCTAACATTTTGGGAGGAGGACCAGATGCATGAGAACAGTCTTAGGAAAGGATGCAAAAATAATGCAGACAAAGCCAATTATTTTATTTTTAGAATTAGTTTTACGTGTTAAAATCTAAACTCATTTTTCTCTCTTCAATGTCCCACATATATTTTACAAAGTTTTCCATTAAGTAAGTGCATTTAGTGCACATTAAGGTGGATCTATTTTTTTCTTGACTTGAGTGGAAAATTGTAAATATAACAAGATACCAAAAATGATTGTTATTATGTGCCACATTCAGTGTGTCTTTGTTTCCATTTATTTTAAATGCTTTAATTGATTTCTATATTGCCTGTTTTTATAATTCCACAGCAGACTCTACAATACCTTTGTATAAATTGGCAGGGTGATGTTTAAATTGCAAATAGCTTGATGCACCAGGCCTCTTGTCGATTTCGGTTCCTTCATGAACGACAGTCGACCGCAAGGTTCCTGAGTTGTATCGCGGACCTTGAACAAGAAAGACATTTATGCTTCACCCATGTTTAACATGCACCATTTAGTTACTTGATCAGATAATCTTTAAAGGGGGAAAATGAAACTCACTTGTTAATATTTAGTACAGATTCAAAGGCCTTTCCTTTTCTTTTTTCTATTATAATTTAGGATGACTTTAAAAACATCATCTGCTTTTGAATTCTGACAGAATGGTATAGATTTAAGGTAATAATGGGATTTGACATGGGTATACTATGAAATGATTACTACAGCCAAGCTAGTTAATACACCTACCACCTCACATGACTGCACTCACTTTCCACTTAAGACTTCTCTTAGTAAATTTTGTTTTGTTTTGTTTTTTTGGTACTGGGGATCGAACTCGGGCCCTTGTGCTTGCAAAGCAGGTGGCGGAACCACTGAGCTAAATCCCTGGCCCTCTTAGCAAATTTCAAATTTAACTATGAAATGATTACTACAGCCAAGCTAGTTAATACACCTACCACCTCACATGACTGCACTCACTTTCCACTTAAGACTTCTCTTAGTAAATTTTGTTTTGTTTTGTTTTTTTGGTACTGGGGATCGAACTCGGGCCCTTGTGCTTGCAAAGCAGGTGGCGGAACCACTGAGCTAAATCCCTGGCCCTCTTAGCAAATTTTGAATACACATTATTTTTAACTATAGTCACCATATTGTACATTAGAATTCATCCAGCTTTTAAAAAACTATAAAATGCATATATAATATAGAATCTGTCATTTTATATTGTAAGTGTATAATTCAGTAGCATGAAGCACATTCATAAGTTGTATAACTGTAACCATTATCTAGACATTTTGACCATCCCCAACTGAAATCATTCCCATCACACAGCACCCTGATCTCTCAGCCCCGACAACCCCTATTCCACAGGGCTGGAAGGGCCTACTGTCCTGCGTCCTTCCCTCATTTCTCCTGTCCCTCTCCCTCCCCTTTCGCTTCCAGCTGCCAGGTCGTGAGAAACTCTCTACCTTGCTGCTCTGCCATTATGTCTTGCCTTGGGGAGAGCCAAGACTGAACTCTCTATAAACCGTGAGCAAAAATAAACCTCTCCTCCCTCTTTTGTGGGTATCAAGTATTGTGTCTCAGGGATGAGACAGTAACAAAGTATATGTCTGTAAGAGTAATCAGTATTGTAGTATTTGTGACAATTTCATTCTTTTTAAGTCTGGATAATATTCCATTGTATATTTATATCACATTTTGTTTATCCATTTATCTGCTGATGGACATTTGGATTCTTTCCACCTTTTGGCTGTTGTGAAAACGTTGGTAAGGACGTGAGTGTATAAGTAATTGTCTGAATTCTGCTTTCAGTTATTTGGAGTGTATTCCAAGAAGTAAACTACCGGATTATATGCTAAGTCTAAATTTAAAGTTTTGAGGAAATACCATACTGTTTTCCACGGTGACTGAATTCCTTTACAATTTTATCAGCCTCGCAAAGGTGTTCTGAATTGTCTCAAATTTATTTATTTTAATAATAGTTATTCGACAGGTATGAAGTAGTTTGTCAGTGTGGTCTTTATTTGTATTTTCTTAAGCAAACACTGACACTGAACATTTGTATACCTTCTTTGGAGAAATGTCTAAGTCCTTTGCCCACTTTCATATTGGGGTATCTGAATGATGACATTTGCATATCAGTAATGTCAACTATTAGCTTAATTATGCAGCTGTCTGTGTTAAATGGATCCATGAGCCCTCAGTAATTACTGCTTAATGTAGTGATTTTAGGAGCCTTTATCAATAATCAGGCAAAAAAATGAGACAGAAGTAACATAATCAAATATTCTTCAGAGATCCCAGGAAACCAATAAGGGGTTTGCAGATACATTCTTGGAAAAATCATGAGGGTTAAAATAATGAAGGAATTGGGCCAGGGATTTAGCTCAGTGGTTCCACTGCCTTCTTTGCAAGTGCAAGGTCCCAAGTTCAATCTCCAGTACCAAAAAACAAATAAACAAACAAACAACAACAAAAAAACTAAACATAAATATATAAAAGAAATAGTAGGAAAAATGCATTTTCATTCAAACTGAGTGGTCAGAGTTTCTAATACATGAATTGGGCATAACCTGACCTTGTTTCCTCCTTACTCAGTCTATAACTAAAAATTAAGATCGACTCTAAACTTCAAAAGTAAAAAATTTGGATTTCTAGGAATATACAATTTCATAGATGTGCTTTCAAATATCCTTGGAAATAGTGAAAAGCAAATTTTCTCTACCACAAGAGGAAGTCAAATTCTTTCTGGGGCCAGGGATTTGGCTCAGTGGTTCTGCTGCATGCCTCGCAACTGGAAGGCCCCAAGTTTTATCCCCAGTACCAAAAAAAATAATAATAATAATAATAATTTCTGGCTCTTGAATAAAAGCAGACAAATTTCATGCATACGTTACCTTAACAAAGAGAGGAAGTCTGTTTTCTTTAAAGGCAAAAAAACTGAAGATATGATGTTGGCCACTCTTAGTTAAGGGCACAAGGTTACCAAAACAGTCAACATAGATAGGTTTTCCTTCTAATACCTAAATGAAACCAGAGAAAAATAACACAATAAAAGAGTTGCAATTATAGCTTATTATTTATACAAAAAATAACTGGTAATACCAGTTGGAACTTTAAATACTTAAAAACATATGAATAACAATCTTTACATTGTCAACTAACATTCTGTTTTATCTGTGGCAAAGCATGTACCAGCCCTCCCTCTTCTAAGTAATACAGATCTTCAAAAGCATGGTAGCATTTAATGTTCTCATTTTTAACCCTTCAGGTTACACACAACAACCAATATATATTTAATTCCTAAACGTAAAATCCTACTTGGGTAGATTTTGACATCACAATGGGTCAGATTATTGGGATTTCAATATCTAAAAACCTATACTGTTTGGAAAATTCTAAAATAAGAAAAAGTAAAATAATAAAATAAAAACAAAATAAAATAAAATAAGAAAAAACTATGAACAAAGTACTGGATATCCTACTTCAACATTTCTATAGAAGGAAGTACTTCATGGAATGTTTTCTTTATAATTAAAAAATAATAAGAAAAACTAAAAAAGGTAAAAAATATTTAAAGTGTAGTAGTCATGTATTTTGAGCTTATCACTAACACAGTTTTTTGCCCAAATAATCTTTCAAAGAATTCTTTTATCTCTTCACATACACTGAGATCATCCCTACAGGACAGGTCCAAATTGGCTGAAAAAGGTTAATTTTGGATCTTGATCTTCAAACTGATCAAGCTGTGGATGGGTCTTTCTCTTTATGTCTCTGTTTATGAAATTCTATTTGATGTACAATCTACTAACAAAGGCTTCATGACACAGCACACCCAAATTCCGCTTACAGTACCTCCACATCCCTGCTTCTGGCCACCTCAGCAAAGTTTTCCTGTTGCTCCAGGGTCTTATCCACTTTGTCATCAGTCATGCAGAAACATCTCAGCCTGGCTTCAATGGGGTCATGGGACTTGGCAAACACTACAAATTTGGCCATGTAAGGTACACAAATAATTTCTCTATATACTTGTGATGCAAAGGCAACAGATTCCTGAATCTGTCGACAATCTATCAGCCAGAACCTTGAAAGAAAATAAAGCCAGTTATCTAAAGTTTAAAGTATGTCACTTGAAAAAAATCAATTACTTAATTTTCAAGTAAAATTTAACATAGTCGCCAAGTTCTTCTTGGAAAAGAAAGGGGAGCGATAGTAAAGGAAGATGGAGGAAGGGAAGGAAAGGTGGACAGGAGAAGCGGCAGGGCAGAGAGAGAGGGAGAGGTGACACATTTTTAAGATCAATGAGCAAATGCTTTCTTCCTTAGAAACTTTCACGCATATTCAGTCTACAGTTTTCTTCAGTGTTGGACCCTTTCGGCAGCATTAGCCTTCAGCACCAGACCTCGGGACAGGGACTGCACAGAAGGGCGCCTATTTTCCTTGATTCCTCTCCTTCATTTCATTTGCTGAAGCTTTTTAACAAAATATACCCGGCTTTTCTTCATCCTTCCTTTCCAAAGAACTCTCCAGTTACCAAGATTGGTTCCATCACCTCAACCATTTAAAAACATGCATGCTTTATAACTATAATCCCAGCACATTGGGAGGCTGAGGCAGGAGACTCACAAGTTCGAGCCTATCCTGGGAAAAATAAAAAATCAAAAGGGCTGAGGATGTAGCTCAGTGCGAAAGTCCCCAGTTCTTCAACATCTTCTCGCTGGGAAACCTTCCTCCAATGATTACCTTCCTTCCCCAGACTCATTTCCCACAGTCTGAACAGTCCTCAGATTTCCTTATCCTTGTAGTCTCTCAATATCTTGATCCATTTGTTTCCTCAATTGTGCAAAATAACAAAAGGTTGCCATTTAACCATTTTAAGTGTACAATTCAGTGGCATTAAGCACAGTCACAGTGTTATGTAATCATCACACTCCATTTCCAGAACTTGCTCACCATCTTGGACACAAACTCTGTCCACTCAATGACAATCCTCAGCATCCCTCACAACACCTGTAGAGAGCATCATTCCTTTCTGTCTCTGTGGGGTTTCAATTAGCACAGTGCTTGTAAGGTTTAGTTTAGTTTCCAGCTCATGACAGACACTCTGAATTAGCATATTTAATCACTGTTTCTTACTTTCTGGGAATTAAATTACTAAAGTAATAACAAACTTGGTGGTATTTTTATTGGTTTTATTTACACATTTTATATATTAAATATCTACTTATATATTTTCTGTTTATATATCATCTCACAACATATTTATACTATGACCTTTTTAACGCTTTGTTTTGTAATATTTTAACTTGCATGCAGTTAGTTCTCTTCGTTTTCTGCAGTTCCAGTCGACAGGTACTCTTTGTATATATTCACAGTGACTCCTCACTTCTTTCCTCCACAAAGCCATGTACAGGGTGTTGCCATCCAACAGCCCAGCATCATTTCTGCACCGTAGGCAACATGGAGGGCTGCTGGTGGCGCTCAGCACCCCGGCACTCCTACCTCCGCATCCCTGCTCACATCCATCTCTGTTCCCCTTCCGTCTGCCTGTTTGGGTCCCACATATAGCTCAGGAGTGCCCTCTTCCCAGATGTCTGCTCCAACTACCACGACACCGTCTCTAGAGCCTGTGGTCTGTCTTCTCCTGCAGCACGCATGATGCGTGTGGCAGGCAGGACACAATGAGGCACAGAGCTATAGCTGCCTGCTGAGCCCTCTGGAGGAACGACAAACACGTGCCATTGCTGGGAGCTGTTAACGTACTGTCCGTGCATTTTTGCCTTTTCTCCTCCCTCCACAGGAACTTAAGGTTTAATTTTTTCTTTTGTACCAGGGATTGAGCTCGGGACCTTGCACTGTGAGACAGGCGGCAGAAGCACTGAGCTAAATCCCCGGCCCTAAGGTTAGCTACTTTTAACATCAGTTTTGACATCTGTAAAATGGACATAATATCTCTTGCTCTACTTAGGTTGCTGAATTATTGCAATATCCAATTAAAGAAGCAGAGGGTGCTTAGACGAAGATGAAGTCTTACCTAACGAAAGACCATGCGAACGGGGACTAATATTAAAACACTGAATTAATGGGTCCAAGAAAAAGTAGATAATGTCAGCTTTTTAAAGATGTGTAATAACTGAATGGGTAATATGCAAATGTGTTAGGATGTATAAGAGCCCCTGAAATCTCTAAGCCACTGAGGCAAACCATGGTGGGCTTTGTGCTTTTGTTATTCTGTTGAAAAAGTAATTCAGACTATGTTACTGGCAACAGGAAATTTCTTGTCCCTAAGGGCCTTAGGACTGGAAACATCAGCACTGGCTGCTAAAGTGAGTCAGAATCATACAACCAAAGCAGTCACTTGTTTTCCTTAGATTTTTCATGTCTGGTAGGATTTAGTTACTATGCTGTTACTACTACATTGCTGGCAGGCCCAAACCATTTAAAATGAACAAAAAAAAAGATCACTTTTAAAGACTTGAGAGATGAAATAATAGAACATAATGACAGCTGGGGCAGGGAAGCACGGACGGTGGGCTTCTTCCTGCTCCTAAGCGTACCTGGCAGACACGTTGGTTGTAAAGGAAACACATTCATTGACAAAGGTGAGTGGTGTGGTTCCTGTGATGTCTTCCCACTGAGCAGGGGTGGTGCCACCTGAAATAACATGGTAGTGCAAGAAAGTTGGGCTGTAGTTCTGGCTGGGTTCCCAAACATTGTAATCCCACCCAACCCCTCAAAATGACACTGAGAACAAAATGGAAAAACTACCTGCTAAAAAACAATACGTTGAAAACAAACACCACTTCTCAAGAAACTCACTTTAAGGGAAATTATTTAAATAACTCTACTAAGCATTAGTTCTCTGCCTGAAGCATTTGTTGCAAATGCTAGGATTTAAAAATAATTTTGAATTGTATCTAATTTGCTATTTTAGAAGATCCCCCAAATAACTAAGACAAGGAATACTTCATGAAATACTCTCTTGTTCTTGGACTTCATATTTTATATAACTATTTCAAAACATGAGGTTTTTTCTCAATTTACAATGAAAGTTGGCAAAATAAATATTGGAAAATACTAAAAGTTCATGGGGAATGAACAAATAAATGATTGTCAAAGAATCCCTTTGTATATAGAAAATTTCCAGGAAGGCTAATGGTGACTTGCCTTATAAAATGGAAAGACAAAATAAGCAAAGTGTTTCAGGAGAAATGTATACTGAGATGAGAGGGTGTCTTGTCTCTCAAGTTTCTTAAAGAGGGGAACGGTTTAGCAAAAAAAGGCTTATAGGTTATTCAAACTGTTCTTTAAAATATGTATTCTTGGACAGGGGATTTAGCTCAGTGGTTCCACTGTTCTGCCTTACAAACACAAGGGCCCGAGTTCGATCCCCAGTACCAAAAAACAAAAAGACAAATAAAATATGTATTCTTGGCCTGGAGACTCAGCTCAGTGGTGCCATGCTTGCCTAACAAGTGCAAGGTCCTGAGTTTGATCCCCGGTGCCACAAAAAAAAAAAAAAAAAAAAAAAAAAAAAA